TTCTCATCGACCATAAAAATGCCTTGGCCTTGATGAGGCTGTGCACGCAGCCGATGCTGCCCAAGACAATAGAACAAGTCCCTGAACATCCCCTTGGGGTGGTGTCAGCAAAGCTCGTGCGTGTGGTCTCAACCAGGCCAAGCATTGGTGGTATCATGTCGTTGTTGCCTGTCGGATGGCAGAGGTAGACTCATGGCCCTTGCTTGTGTTTTTCCCGTGCCAAGCTATTGTGGCGTGGCCTTACACGTCGTTTCCTCCACTCACTCATCGAGTAATTGATCAGGTGGGTTGGGGACCGATGCGTGTGGATGCTGTCATTTGTACGCAATGGGCATATGAGTGGTGCTATGGTTGTGCATGTTGGCAGGCTCCGTGTTCGATGCATCAAACTATCGACCCATCATCCTCTTCAATCTCCCCCCATGCAGTTGTTTACCTCGGGGGTGCGATCGAGATCCTGTGCTGTATACCCGAATCGATGGAAACTGGATGTCTTACCATCCCTCATCTGTCTCGTATCCTGAGGGGCTACGAGTCGAAAGTCAATCGTGGCCGGTGTCCCAAGCGTGCCACCAAATCCTTCGTGGCCACATGGGTGCACTGGTGTTCGATCGTACTCTCGGATGCGAAATGTTTAGTGGGCATGAGCTCTCAACCCCCGTTCATCAGATGCTATGCATTTCATGTGCTCAACACGCATGATGCTTGTACTCCGTGTTGGGCTCTCTTGGCCATCTGGTCAATGCGTTGAGGCCCACACGATGCCAACGTCCCAAAAAAATGCTACCTGGTTAATCCTGCCAGTAGTCATATGCTTGTCTCAAAGATTAAGCCATGCATGTGTAAGTATGAACTATTTTAGACTGTGAAACTTCGAATGGCTCATTAAATCAGTTATAGTTTGTTTGATGGTATCTACTACTCAGATAACCGTAGTAATTTTAGAGCTAATACGTGCAACAAACCCTGACTTCTGGAAGGGATGCATTTATTAGATAAATGGTTGACACGGGCTATGCCCATTACTCTGATGATTCATGATAACTCGACAGATCGAACAACCTTTGTACCGGTGACGCATCATTCAAATTTCTACCCTATCAACTTTCGATGGTAGGATAGTGGCCTACTATGGTGGTGACGGGTGATAGAGAATTAGGGTTTAATTTCGGAGAGGGAGCTTGAAAAACAGCTACCACATCTAAGGAAGGCAGTAGGCGTGCAAATTACCCAATCCTGACATAGAGAGGTGGTGACAATAAATAACAATATCGGGCTCTATGAGTCTGGTAATTGGAATGAGTACAATCTAAATCCCTTAACGAGGATCCATTAGAGGGCAAGTCTAGTGGTAGCAGCTATGGTAATTCTAGCTCCAATAGCATATATTTAAGTTGTTGCAGTTAAAAAGCTCGTAGTTGAAACTAGGGTTGGGTCGTCTGGTCTACCTCACGGTGAGCATCAGTCTACTAGTCCCTACTGCTAGCGATGCGCTCATGGACTTAATTGCCTGGGTCATTCCTCCAACGCTATTACTTTGAAGAAATTAGAGTGTTCAAAGTGGGCCCATGCTTGTATACATTAGCATGGGATCGGAGTAGTGATTAACAGGGACAGTCAAGGGCATTCGTATTTCATAGTCAGAGGTGAAATTCTTAGATTTATGAAAGACGAACAACAGCGAAAGCATTTGCCAAGGATGTTTCCATTAATGAAAAATGAAAGTTGAGGGCTCAAAGACGATCAGATACCATCCTAGTCTCAACCATAAACAATGTCGACCAGGGATAAGTGGATGTTACTTTTAGGACTCCGTCGGCACCTTGTGAGAAATCAAAGTCTTTGGGTTTTGGGAGGAGTATGGTCGTAAGGCTGAAACTTAAAGGAATTGACAGAAGGGCACCACCAGGAGTGGAGCTCATGGCTTAATTTGACTCAACACGGGAAAACTTACCAGGTCCAGACATAGTAAGATTGACAGACTGAGAGCTCTTTCTTGATTCTATGGGTGGTGGTGCATGGCCGTTCTTAGTTGGTGGAGCGATTTGTCTAGTTAGCACGAATGAGAGCTCAGCCTGCAAACTAGCTACACATAGGTGATCCGTCGTGGCTAGCTTCTTAGAGGGACTATGGCCACTTAGGCCAAGGAAGTTTAAGGCAATAACAGGTCTATGATGCCCTTAGATGTTCTAAGCCGCATGCACGCTACATTGATGTATTCAACGAGTCTATAGCCTTGGCCGACAAGCACGGGTAATCTTTGAAATTTCATCGTGATGGGGATAAATCATTGCAATTGTTAGTCTTCAACAAGGAATTCCTAGTAAGTGCTAGTCATCAACTCACATTGACTACGTCTCTGCCCTTTGTACACACCGCCTGTCGTTCCTACTGATTGAATGGTCCAGTGAATTGTACGAATCACGGCGACATGGATGGTTCACCTTCCGTAATGCCACGAGAAGTCCACTGAACCTTATCATTTAGAAGAAGGAGAAGT